ACCAGACGATTTTTTCGGGCATGGGGGTGATCCAGTCTAGATTGTTCACTAATGTCTTGACGAATTCTGTTTTGCCCGATTTCGAGGGTCCAGCAACCACCATGGTAAACTCGTGTTTCAATTGAAAAGAAGGGAGGGGTGTCTCCTCGGAATACATGTTGATCAATGAAGGAAAAGTTGGGTTCAGGGTCTTATTTATAGTTAACACAGAAATAGGCGTTTGGACTGTTGAATCTCGCGCCTCGACAGATGGGGCAAAACTGAAAGGATGGAGCACACAAAGCACAGCAGCATACGTGTCCGCAAGGTAGAAAAACGATTTGTAATTCCTCGTCTAAACAAATGTGACATTTTCCTCGAGCCTGGACGTCTGGTTCTGGGTTCAGTAGAGGTTTGATCTCAGGTAAAGGTTTATATCCCTGCTGTTCTAAACCCGCAATGAACACATTCATCACCCATCCTCGTCCCTTATACAGATTGATGTAAGGACAATTGGGGTTCCAATAAGCATGTTCTACACAAAAATCATTCCACAATGAAAACAGGTAGCTTTATCTTTCACTCCCCTGTAATAAAACCCGGCTCGAGCTAGGTCTGGTATTTTTCCTAAGAGAGGTTCTGGCCATCCCTGCTCAAAAGTAGCTTCTCTCTTTGAGAGCCGAGCATACTGGGGATAACGCATGGGTTGATCTAGCAATTTCTCAGTCATGACTGAACTTTTGATTTGTATTGCTCCCCTTTTTATAGGGAAGAAGAAAAATAACAACACATAAAAAACAACAATTCAATTTTTTTTAATTCAAAAAGTCAAACATATCAACATATCAATAACCATAAGGTAAAGTGTTATAAGAGGGTAACAATTGTCTCTTATCATATACAATTCTATACTTTTTCTCTAATGGTTTGTTCACGAGCTCATGATCACGAGTCCTCTGGATTTTGTCGGGATAAGGGACTGTGACTTCCTCTATTTCTTCTTTCAGCATTTTTTCTAAAGTCTCTAGGCACACGATCTGGGAGGTACGATAGTTGAGAGTGATTCCTTTGACTTTATGAACCTCGGTTCCTTTGGCCGTCCGGTAAGCATAATTTTTAGGGCCTGCCGACATGAATTTGATGATGTGATCCCCGTCTAATTCGTCGGTCCATTCTCCTAAACTATTACCCAAAGTAGGATTAAAGGCTCCTTCCCGATGTTGGTAAATGATACTGTCCGTATCGAAATAAAGGACCCGATCTCCTAAAGGTTGTAAAGTCTCGTAGAGGTGTAAGCGGGCATGCGCGGTAGTAAAACAAGCCAGGACCACGTTTCCAAAGGGACATTCTTCGACGAATTCCTGTTTGTCTTGATAATTCACTAGCATCTTGTCTTCATTGGGGTTCTCTTTATTGGCTAAGAGTTGCATGCCCTTGATGTCGAGAGTCGAATCTTGTAAGAGTTGTTGTAATTCCTCTTCTTCGTCCAAGTATCTGGTTTTGGGTAATAACAAGCGTTGAGCAAATTTTCCCCACAGACAATTTAAAAAGAGTTTAGCAATGGTTCTTCTCACTGGATTCTTCTCGATACTGAGAATGTCCATTCGGATGCCTGTTTTGTCATAAGACTTGATATATGTAATCTTGTTCTTGTTCTGAGGTCTTACAGTCGGGGGGAAATCCGGAGGCTTCCTGTTTGATCTTGAGGAAGGTATCGATGTAAGATCTGAATAAATCCTGACTGCTTTCTTTAAAATGCCATACTTCGTAGATTCGATCTAAGGTATATCCCATGTCTAGGGCTTTATGTAATTCGGTCGTCACCCAAGTACCCGTGAGACTACGTTCCCGGTCGGTGTGTGGACATCGATCTTGAGACGTAGAGTCCTGTCGTTCGGCACACGTGCGACATAAGGGAAATAATAACTTGCCTCCCGTCCGATAAGGTAATACGGGGTGATAGAGGTCTCGGGGAGGTAAGACCCGACAGTGAATGAGACCGAAATAATTTCTCACGTCCTGGAACTCGTCTGTGATGATCTCGGGATGCCCTACGGGAAATGGTCTGTGTTTCAACACGTAAGGGTATAGGGAACAGATGTCCACGTATCTCATGTCCCCTTCCTCACAATATAATTTAGTGGCATTGGTCCGACCTCCGTACAGGGCTTCTCGAGGTTTCAAAGGATCCGGAATGTCCAGGTTTCCTACAAATTGCTGTAAACTCTCATCTTTTTGCACTTGCTGATCGAAATCGTGCTCCCAGATACCACGGACGGTATACCCCATGTCTTCTAAATCGCCAGTCCTTCTGAGGGTTTCTTCGTGTAATTGCTGGTAAGTAAATTGGGTCCGATGAGGATGAGTTTCGGTCTGTAAACTGGGATAGCAGGTGGGGCATCCGTGCCAATAGCACCCGTAAAATTCGTAGACGGTGCGAGTCGCTTCCTGGTATCCGTCGACGGTATAATTTCCGATCTGGATTTCGCCTCCGTTTCTGGCATGTCGTATGTGACATCCAGTCTGTTGACTCATCCAGGTGAGCCACCGACAGGCTTTAGCAGAATATTGTCGTGCCGGTTGATACCCGAGGTTCGGAATGATGGCTATGGTGTCTTCAGGCATGAATTGTCGACGGTAGGCTAAATTAGCAGCACTGGCAAAAGTGATGGATTCCTGGAAAGGGTCCACATTGACCAAACTCTTGAGGGTGGCTCTAAACTGTGCACAGCATCGGCGTAAAATGTCGACGTCAGAGATGCAATACCCTACAAACTCTTTCTGGAAATCAAACACTTTTCCCCTCTGTTGGTCGTACCATTCAAAAAAAGCTTTTCGTCCACTGGTAGACATTTCGTCCGGTTTGTAGAAAGCTGCCGGTGGATAAGGTCCTACGTAATTCTGGTTCTGTTCCGTATTAAAAAAGTGGGGGAAATAGCCTTTCTTCAATTCGTCGAATCCGAAAGCTGAGGGCATCTTGGCTAATGCAAAAGGTAAGAAACTATACGAGTCGATGAATTTCAGTCCGCATATTTCCATGTATAAGATCTTACTGCCGGTCATGATGACGTTAGGTTTCAGGCAAGAGGAATGCACCAGGTGATTCAAAATGAACTGTCCGTCGTAGCCTTTGAAGTTATGGGCGATGATGATGGCCTCGTCGTGTACTAAAGTGGAATTCTTAGTACCTGTAGTGGGTTGTAATAACCAGTCCATGAACTTCTTTAAGGTGTCTGGTCCTTGAAATAGGTGCTGACGGGGTCCCATGTGTTGACAATGAGGACAGGGTTGGTCTATGGGTAAGTGACTGCAATGTTGACAGACGCGGTGTGCCACACACAGATTAGGGACGTGAATGCCGGTTTCCTGAGTGCATTCGAAATCGAAATAGATGTAAAACTCTAAGGTCCCTTTCCCCTTCTTCTTCTTCTGGGGCTTCTGTTGTACGTAGCACTGATGATCGGTATCAACGATTTTCTTACAGATCTTACACTGTTTCTGTCCTCCGCATTTGTGATGAGGGAATAAATTCTTAGGTATCCAGGACTGACACTTCTCGCATTGTTCCATTAAATTGCAGACAGTAGTGGTGGTCTTCTTACTATGGGGTCTTAAATGATTTTCGTAGCAGGTCCTGTTCTTAAACATTCCATGGCATTCCTGGCATTTAATCTCGATCCCTTCATCGGGACAATTAGGGTGTTGTCCTAAACAAAAGGTACAGCGATAAGGACACTTGGAACGATGGTCTGTGACATTCCTGTACCCCACGTCGCAATGATCACAGTAATAGGGGTTCCCCGTTACTCCAGGCATGGATATGATGGCATCGTAATGATGGTCGTCTAACAATATGTTCAAACAAGTTCCGTCTCCCCAGCCTTTGAAGATGCGCTCTAAGGTGAGTTTAGTCGAAGTAGACTTGAACTGAAATATTTTCAGTCGATACTGAGGAGATAATACCTCTTGTAATTTCGTCCACTCTGCATATCCACAAGCTTGAGTGATATCACACTCGGCCTGTTCCATGAGGGCTATGGCTTGGTTCTTCTGGTCTAAGGATTTAAAATCTCCTGACCTCATGCGTTTCCATTGTTTTTCCCATTCGGGGTCTGGATGTTCGGGTTTTTGACTGTGTAATCGAGTCACGACGATGGCTCTAGCTAAACAAAATTTATCCCAGGGATTGACGATCCGAACGATGGCTCTTTTATTGTTCTTAAAAGTCTCCTTATTCACTTGTAGATGTTTGGTTCTGTCTCCACCACTTCCCTCGGGATACTTGACCCGAAACATATCAAATTCCATGCCCCCGTCGCCCAGTTTGAACCCCTTTCTGGATTGTTGCACGGCTTCAATCTTGTCTAAAATGACGTCCTCGTTAAAATGTTTACATTGAGTAAACTCGTACCAAATCTCTGATTCCAGAGATTTGTGGCGTATGTTCAGGCGGAGGTAATCGTTAGGATTACACTGCATTTTCGATTTGAAAGTTTGTAACATGTCTCTGAATAATCGCCGAACAAATCCTCTGTTTTCTTCCTCTGGAAACTCCTTAAAAATCACAGTGTAAAAATCCTGTTGAGCTTTAAATTTTTTAGAGTGCACCCTATGATTCACTTTGACTCGATAATACTGGGATATGGCCTTGGGTTTGGGTGGTGAATGAATAGGTAACTTTGACCCCTCATGCGCCCTAGTCCTTTGCTGTTGCTGTCTTTGTTTTTCTAGTTGAGCTCTTCTCTGTAATAGTATGGCATTTCTTTTCCGAAGCTTTAATTCTTGCTCTTCATTTTCATCAAGAATTTGATTTAATTCTCTCTCCCGTAGTTGTCGTTGTCGTTGTTGTTGTAGTTGTTGTTGTCGTTGTTTTTCTTGTAGAGCTCTTCTCTGTAATCTTACCGCATTTCTTTTCCTAAGCTCTAATTCTCACTCTTTATTTTCATCAAGAATTTGATCTAATTCGCTCTCCCTTTTTTTCCATTCTAATAATCGCTGAGCATGTAACTGTTTTTCTCTAGTAGAATCCATGACCCCCCACAGGCAGGGAGCTGGCTCTGACAGTAGAATGAGCTGAAAGTAGGAGAAAAGCAGTATTTATACAGTGGATGACGTCACAATGCATAGGTAAGCATATTTTTTTGCACACGGCCCTAAACAAACTTGACTCGCTGCCAAGTATTTACCTGCGTAGTCAGCATAAAAACGTAGGTAAAACGTATTTTTTGTACAGGGCCCTTACAGATGATGCAACAGGTATAAAAGTCGCTGCCAAAATCGTAGTAGCAGCGTTATGAATGGTAGTAGCAGCAGCGTATATAGTATAATGTAAACACAGTGTAAACACACCCCCGTATTTAGGGGGATTATATGTACTGAATTGACCCGGCTATCCCCCACAGACCCCTTAATCTGCACTCTATTGACCCACCTATCCCCCCCAGGGGCTGCACTCAGTTGAACCGGCTATCCTCCCCCAGGGGTTGCACTCGCTTGACCCGCCTATCCCCCCCAGACCCAAAAGTGCACTCAGTTGACCTCGCCATCTAGACCCTTTATACTACTGTCCTCCTTGAATGTGAAAGTCTGAAATACTTTATAGCCGTGCTTTGTAATGGTCATTTTGTTCCATGTCTTACCGTGGTAGGAGAGGCAGAGAATGACCAATCAAAATCTGACCAATCAAAATCTAACAAATGAAATTCTGACCATGCGGTCCGTTACTCTGCCTTTTCTCCCATCTACATCCTTGGAGGACGGACGTTGTTTCAAAGTTTGTAATTTATTTTATCAAGATTTTGGTGAGTAAAATTACTTCATTATGTCTTCTATGAGTAAAACTTCAGTTGTCATTCTTGGACATTCAATTGTGCGTCGTTTTCATGAATTCTTGAAATATGGTGACATTAGGTATTCTGCGAGCCTTGGTCTTGGAGAAACGCATTCCGTCTTGTACAGGGGTGTGGGTGGAAGAAAGGTTCGTGATGTAATATCTAAGGATATGGAGAGCGTGTTTGCTTTAGGTCCAGATGTAGTTGTTCTAATGATTGGGGAGAACGATATTAGTCCTAGTACCGACGCTACCTTGTTAGCTGCAGAAATTGAATCTGTGGTATCGGTAATGCATCGCCGCTATAAAGTTGCAAATATAATTGTTTGTAAATTATTGTCACGATTTGGTGTTCGTTTTGGGTACAATAATTTGCAGACAAAGTAAACGCAATATTGAGAGATGCATTGCCAGCACTGGGTTACTGCGTATTTTGGGAACATGGGAATTATTTCGTTTCTCCCCGTGAAGGAGACTGCAGTCGTAAATTTGTTCACGACGGAGTTCATCTGAACAGTCAGGGGAATGTTCATTTATATAGGAGTATAAGGGGAGCTTTAATTTCAGCGAGAAAATAGATATACATCTAAGTCATAAAAGTTTGTCACCATTTTGTTACTTTTATTGTTCGTCAATTTTTCAGATAGATATTCTTTGAAATTATACAACTTTTGTTATTTTAACAGTACGATAGGCATTTAGGATGTCTAATAATGTATAACAGATTTATCCTTTTTCTGTGAAGAAATTTCGGTTGGAAAAAGTATCAGCAAATTTGATTGTTTTGTTGTTAGTTTAATTTTTACAGTACTTTAGGCAGATCCTAAGTACAAGTTTCAGGCAGTTTTTTGTACTTGCCAAGTTTCAACCCATTTGGGTTTTTTCATTTTAGTTTCGGCTTTTACCATGCAGATGGCGATTTTTTCCATCGTTTTTTATTTGATATCTATGAATGTATTTTAAAGCATTTCAGATTTATCCTTTTTCTGTGAAGTAAATTCGTTGGAAGAATGTCTGCCAATTAGTTTGTTTCGGTATTAGTTGATTATACTAAAATATTGTGAATTTTTACAGTACTTTAGGCAAGTCCTAAGTACAAGTTTCAGGCAGTCTTTTGTACTTGCCAAGTTTAAACCCGTTCGGGTTTTTTCATTTTAGTTTCAGCTTTTACCCTGCAGATGGCGATTTTTTCCATCGTTATTTTATTTGATGTCTATGAATGTACCGTAAATCTGGAAATTTTTACGTCGATTTTATTTTGCGAATTCGGGTCAAAATGGTGTTGATTAATTTTTACGTTTCAAAATTTTGCGAATTACCACTGCTTTGTTTACATTTTCTTATTGGTAATTTATTTTTAAGAAAAATATTTTTGCGAATGCAATGAACTCGCAAATTTGCTAAAAATTTATCTACAGCAAAAATTTACAGATTTACGGTATTTCAATGCATTCCAGATCGACTTATCCCTTTTTCTGTGAAGGAAAATCGTTGGAAATTGTCTGCCAATTTGTTTGTTTCGGTATAAGTTGATTACTAAAATATTGTGAATTTTTACAGTACTTTAGGCAAGTCCTAAGTACAAGTTTCAGGCAGTCTTTTATACTTGCCAAGTTTGTACCCATGCGGGTCTGAACTTTCCCTAGTTCGGTCAAGTCAGTGGCGTTTTCAGACCCATTTTCATGATTTTTCTGTTAAATCTAAGTGGTAATTACTGTAAATTTGGATTATCTCCCTTTTCAAAATTGGTTTTATTTCTCATCTTGATATCTTGTGTCTGCTAAAAATTATATGTCATTATTAATAATACTTTTGAGAATTTCAAACAAATTATTAAACGTCACAAAGGTGGCAACACACGACAAACTGTTTTACAGACTTTTTACTCATTGAAGGAGGATAAGATAAGGTGTTCTAGCTTTGAAAGGATTTTGGAAATAAATTAACCAGTTGATGGGTAACCGGGGTATCAAAATACTTATTGCATTAAAATAAATAAATTTAAGTTTACTTAAAAATTTTTATTGTAATCAATAAGTGTCCTCCTTGAATGTGAAAGTCTGAAATACTGTATAGCCGTGCTTTGTAATGGTCATTTTGTTCCATGTCTTACCGTGGTAGGAGAGGCAGAGATTGACCAATCAAAATCTGACCAATCAAAATCTAACAAATGAAATTCTGACCATGCGGTCCGTTACTCTGCCTTTTCTCCCATCTACATCCTTGGAGGACGGACGTTGTTTCAAAGTTTGTACATTACCTCCTGCCACCCCGCCTCCGCCATTTGTGTGTTGTTTTAATTTATGTTTTGGCGTTTTCAGTCCCATTTTCATGTTTTTTCTGTTAAATCTAAGTGGTAATTACTGTAAATTTGGATTATCTCCCTTTTCAAAATTGGTTTTATTTCTCATCTTGATATCTTGTGTCTGCTAAAAATTATATGTCATTATTAATAATACTTTTGAGAATTTCAAACAAATTATTAAACGTCACAAAGGTGGCAACACACGACAAACTGTTTTACAGACTTTTTACTCATTGAAGGAGGATAAGATAAGGTGTTCTAGCTTTGAAAGGATTTTGGAAATAAATTAACCAGTTGATGGGTAACCGGGGTATCAAAATACTTATTGCATTAAAATAAAGACATTAATGGTAATTATCTAACAACCAAGCTCTACGATAAACATGATAAATTTAACTTTACAATTGTCAACTTACCTTACCTCTGCAGCAATATTCCTTCATCACATGTATACGGAATTCATATATCTCAGTTGATTCGATAAGCAAGATTTCAATTTCTAAAACGAGGTATATTATTGAAAAATAAGTTGGTGAAACAAGAATATAAACAATCTTGTAATTATTTCGTAAGTTCTATCATAATGGTCAATACTATTTCTCATTGAGTAAAATACTGACTGACGTTTTCATACTGCTTGTTAGTCCATTATTTACACACTGAATTAAGGACGGATCCTTCTGTTATTCCCCGATCATGACAAAGAGCACACGGCGGGTGTGACCGGTCAGCAGGGGATGCTTACTCTTCCATAACATATAGTCCAACCTCTCATGATTTGAAGGTCCGTGTTTGCTCTGCTCCTATTTTTTGTATTGTTTTATGGACGTTTTGATCTTGAATACTGTTCATTATCTCAATATCTCCATATGTGTCAATAAAAATTTTTATATTGCAATAGATGATAACTATGGGATATCCAGCGATATCAGGTCCTAAATCTGTTAATGATCGGATTGCCATTGTTGGAGCAGGGATAAGTGGAGTACATATGGCGTCTCTTCTAAAGGTCAGTGAAAAGCAATGTATCATGAGTTATGAATACTTTACAATTAAATTATGTAAATTGACGACGATGTTAGTTTTGTCTTACAACAATTCATTGTAGGAGAGGGGTTTCAAAAACGTCAAAATTTTTGAACAGCGAAACGAGGTTGGAGGAAAAGCATATTCGCGATTTTACAGGGGGGTATACAATGAGTTTGGAACAATTTTCATGACGGATACCTACGATCAGGTGGCCAGGCTGGTCCGGAGATACACTCCTCGATCCAGAATTAAATCCAAAAACAAGTCTTCTTTAATGGTCAAGGATTTCGGTTAGTCATACATGTATTAAGAACATTTCAAAATACATATATGCATTTTTAAATGTTTATCCTATATATTTAGGGAGTGAAGCATCTAAACATATTTTATATGATATAACGTAACTTGGGGGTGGGAGGGGGTGGGGTTACACTCTAGTAAAATGAAGCGTATTTACAGTTTTAAAGCATTTCTTCACTTAATTTTAAAAAATGAAGAAAGTTAAAAGATTACAAGTTGAAAATTTAATTGCAATTTTATATATCTGATTTTTAAAAATTAATAGTGTGATTTTGACATTATGACAACGTGAAGCTCTTAATCAAGAAGTGATAAAAATGTTATAAGAGAAAAAGTAATAAATATATGTCCCCTCTGAAAACAAAAAGGTTTGAATTTTGTTTTTCTTACGCATTCTGTATTATATAATATCAATATTATACAATATTTGCAGTTTTTTTTAGGTCAATACATGATTTAGATACCTGGGGAGTACAATATTCACTGAGCCCGAAGGGCGAAGTGAATATTGTACTTCGAAGGTGGCTATAAATCATCGTATTACCGTAAAAATCAGCAATAACTGTTTTATTATATGATTAAATGATAGCAAACTCCTGCAAGACTGTTTCTTTGCTTTAATTGAAAGTTTTAACAACAAGACATTGTAACAGAAAAAAAATGAAACAGGTCAATAATTCCTTTTGTTATACCCTTTTAAATATCTTTCTATATATTTATTACATGTGTACTAATAAAAAGCCCAACAAAAGAAATGTTTATTACATCGGTCTAACTATTTTACTGTTGACTGGCCTGTCGGTCCAACATAAGAATTGTTAGACCGCAACGTCACTGCTACGTCACAAGTAATTAATAATCGTTCAATATCGGCGACGCGGAAATAGCCGAATTTCAGAGCTGCAAGAGTTGTTGCTACCAACAATGTAAGGAAGGAGGGATTTGATAAATAATTTTTGTAATATAATAAAGATATAATTGATTTGTTCTTTCTCAGCTATTGTTTATACTTACTGATTAAGCCATAATTTTCCATACAAAGTAATTGACAATATAGTGTATAATGATTAAATCTAAAGTGAGCACTGAAGGGTATAACAAAACAGTTATAGACTGGGATTCCGCCTGCGGCCTCAGGCAACATTTTCACCTTCAGGTCCAACAAATCATATGTTGCCCTCATACCCAGTAAATAACTGTAAAATATTGACCTGCAATAATTCCTTGTATTGACCTGGAATGTCACGTGCAGGTCAACATAACCTAGTATTTTTCTAACATTGTCGGATCTCAACCAATCAGAGATAAGGAAAATATTTAATCATAATAAAATATCATATCAACGTGTTCTGATATTATATCAATTACTAATTCCTCCTAATCAATACTTCAGTCTATGCAGAACCAGAAAATTGAAATGTATCTTCTTTTATTTGTAATGTATACATTTTTAAATTGAATGAAAAATAATCAAGGATATTATTTAATGTTTATCTATTGTTAACTCTAGAATTTACGACCTGGGCCGAACGTTTGGCACTGAATACCGGAGAAAGATCTCCTCAGGCTGCCCTCAGAAAAATTAAAGCTACCGTGGAAAGGTATGACAGAATCCATCGCTGTCTGTTTGGAAACTATTCCTTCGAACTTATGCCTCGGCCAACACCTGATGTTATGCGACAAATTCAAGGAACTGTACAGGATTTCTTGGAAAGGCATGATCTGATGTTAATAGCACCTATTTTCCGAACGTATTTAACAACGAATGGGTATGGATTTATCAATGATACTGCAGCTATATACGGTTTGGCTTGGGTAATACCGGAAGTTATTAAAGGCACATTTACACCTGAAAATGGTTTCTGGATATTAGAAGGAGCATTTCAATCCATCGTAACCGAGATGGCTAAGCAAAATAATTTGAATGTACATCTTGGAACCAATGTCGAAAGGATTCAAAGATTTCCTGGTCCTGGGGGTATACAAATAACATACTCAACGAAGGGACACCCAACTATTAGGACGGAAAATTTCGATTTTTTGATCTTATCTCCGGCCATGAGTTCTTTGCTGAATATTGTGGATTTCAACGCAAAGGAAAGGAATTTATTTAGCAGACTGTATAATGGAAACTTTGTTACGACACTGATCGAATCTGACAATGGCATTCGCGGCAACGATGCACAGACTTATTACAACGATGCGGTTGATCAAGACAGCTACCCGGTGTACTTAACCTATAATTTCTACCACGCCCAGAACAACATTACGAGGGAGGACCATCGCCTAGGGATTCGGGAAAACGGTCCTGATAGGAACCCGCAGGAAACGCAAATGTATTACCAGTATGGATATGAAAAGCCTTGGGCAAAGGATACCGATTTTATGATCCAGTCCAAATTAGCTGCATTCTTGAAAAAATTTAGAAAAACTAATCCAAGAATTTTGGAACAAATAAAATGGGGGTATTATTTTCCAAGATTTTCCGCGGAAGATGCTGACCGTGGGTATCTGTGGGATGTATTAGATATGCAGGGTCAGTTTAACACCTGGTATATAGGGTCCTCAGTGAGCTTTGAAAGTATGGAGAGTGTGATAGAATATAATAATCTGTTAATGAGTTTATTTTATTCATAAAAAAGAATTGTTAAATGGCTCTTGACAGGATTATTATAATTAATTAATATACGGTGCAACATTATATCTTAGTGCAAGAATAAAACATAAAACATATCTTTTTTTGTACGTTGCAAATTACTGTTAATGTATTATATTTGGAGGTATTTTCTTTTTGGCGCTTACTTATGTAAGTATATTGCTAAATGTCTTAAATAGTATATCCATAAATAATGTTAATGCGCTAAATAAAATCTACAACTTGTTTAAAAATCAATTACCGCCAAATAAAACTAAATATAATACATTTATAGTATTTGAGGAAAAGAGTGAAGGCAAAAAACTATTTACAAATTTTATTCTAGTATTCAGTAACATCACATAATTTCGTGAAGTCAAATTCGTTGTTTGTTCGTGGGGATATATTTGTTTGAAGGATTGCATGAAATTCAATCTTGAACCTTTGGACAGATTTTAGTCTGAACCTTTTTATTTAAATGAAATTCTGTATCCTTTATACTTCTACATTACATTCGGGCTAGACAATGCTAAGTAAGCTACAGTAAATGAAAAAAAATGCAATTAAATTCCATTCAAATAATTTTAAGCCAGGAACTATACTGTAAACCAACTTTAATTCGCGACGACTTTATTATGCGATTTACCAGGCGAGCACTAGTTCGCGGCAATTTATTTTTGCGATCAAGCCTAGTTTGGATCAGTTGTTAATTGACACAAAGACTTTACGGACTGGTTCGCGGCTAGAAATATTCGCGATGGCGAGGCTCTCGCGAAAGATTTTCGCTCGATCGCAAATAAAATTTGGTATATATTGTGGCGAAGGATTTCTTTTAGGAAAGCAATAAAGTTTTCCCTCTTTAAAGAATTAACAGTTTTATCTAGTTTTGATTCCAATTCTTTCACACAAAGCTATTTTGTGAAGTGAAATGTTTTTGATGGTTTTACCAACATACTGTGAAAAAAAATTGCAAACGTATTCTGAAAGTCATGTCTACATGACTAAACATAGCTTTTCTCTTCTTGAGAACATATTTTTCCTCTACTTTGTTAGTCGCCCGCGTGGCGCAGTGGTTAGAGCGTTTGCTCTAGAGTCGAGAAGTAAGGAGTTGATCATTACGTTGCGGGCTCGTATCCTTCTGTAAGACTTGGAGACCGGTCCTTCGTATGAGATCGTATTTATAAACCGAGGTCCCGTGTAGCAGTAAATGCTGGCACGAAAAAGATCCCTATCTGCTCAATGGCCCTGAATCTCGAGTATAGAACAAAATTTGCAACTCTCCACCGACAAGTGGTGGTGTCTAAATAATATGAGTGAAAATTCTAGGACATTAAACAATATACAATCGATCAATCAGTCAATCTATTTTCTTATGTAAAACTTCATATTAGAAGTAAAATAGGAGTTGTACAATGACATAATGTAACTTATGTGAAAGCATCATTTAATTTTATTCAGTAGTATAGGAGAAGATGCGGATAAGAGCTGGGTACCCTTCAATATTATAAATAGAATGGCATGTCAATGTTTCGCTATGGGAAACCCAAAATATGTGTCGATCAAAAATAAAATAGGATCTGTACAATTGCACTATATAACAAATATTCTTTTAAAGTCCCATTATTAAATTTCATTCAGTGGTATAAGAGGAGTTGCGGATAAGACATGGGTACCCCCAAAGCATAACAGACGCACAGACATACAGCTAGACGGGAGGATGGACATCCCGATCACTATACACCTTCCTGCTTTTCATAATCTGATAATTTTATAATCTGATAATTTTATTTCTCTGTAAGCATTTAAAATAAAACTTTTCCCAATCTAAAAAAAAACCATTTGAAATTAAGGCCAAAAGCTGACTGATTGATTGTAAATTGCTTAATATCCCAATCAAAATATAGAGATATGTAACCATTTACTGGTGAAGGGCTTCAAATTGAGTTTTTATTTGGGACTCATGGCCATTGAGCAATGAGGGTTCTTTATCGTGTCAACGCCTGCCATAACACTGGACCTGGGTTTTTAAGGTCTCATCCAAATAACCCGCAACTTTCACTTCAAAGTGCTGAGTGCACAATACTGGAACAGTTGCAGCCATTAATATCTATCAATTATTATTATTTAGGTCAGTCACGGCAAAGATTCGAGCTCATGACCTCCTAATCACGGAATGAGCGCTCTACAGACTGAGCTACCATGAACGATACCAAAAGCTGAAAGGTCAAGATAACATTTTTTTTCCCCATCTACATTTTTTTCAGTTTTTAATTTCCTCTTCTATTTCTCTTAGCAAAGGATACACATTCTCTGACAAAGCTTGTTTTAGAAATATTTATTTCAGACATTTGTGTTCAGATGGACCTAACCTTCAACAAGTGTCTATCAGAGAGTAGAGGGAAATTTTCGCCTGTTTAATTTTAGTCCCTTTCGCTCTCGTCTGACGTGAGCGAATTTAAAACAGGGCGAATTCAAAGTAAACAGTATATCTAAAGCAAATATTTTTCTGGGCAAATTTAAAACAGTGCAAACTTGTTTTCAGATGTGAGAGGGTGAAAATAACACAGGGCGACAATAACCCTGTATATAGTATCAAGGTTATAGCGTCAGATCTGATTTGAGCCTCCTTGAAACAGTTTTGATAACAACTGTATATGCCAATCATTTGTTGAGTTCACATTCATTGCTTGTTCTTACATTTATAGTAACGACTGGATACAAATTATCATGCTTCAATGTACAACACAATGATCTACATAAAAACTTTATTTCTTTTTAAAAACATGATATAAACACAGGACCAGGCATTACACTGCTGAAAAGATACTTTAAGTTCTAATTGCAATAAGTCTTTGATGTTTTTTAAGACAATGGATCAGTTTTTCTTAAAAAAAAACTTGAACCACATTGTTTTGAATAGTTGTGATCCTTTTTGGACTTATACCATATCACAATAACTTCATCTGACTTTTCATTTGTCCCTGAGAGACTTTGAATTTCATCAGTGGCATGCTGGGAGAAGGAAGCAATTCTGGGAATGGTTCATGTTGTCATGACACCGAGGACTGTGTTTCTCCCTCTTCCTCCTCCACCACCTGGAACTGGGACACCCACTCTTCTGGCTGCTTCTCATACAACTGGAAAACAAACATGGAAATATTCATGTCACGGTCTTTTATAATGTTTACATGTACAATGCTGTATGTTTAGTTTACAAAATTGGGCTTCATGTTTTAGTTATTTTGGTGCAAACAACAATGCGCTCATTTATAAATACCACTAAAAAATCATAATAAATATATATGTAATACACAGTACAAACAAGTGTAGCGTTAAGTTATGACTACGACAACAACTCCATTAACAGTGATTGCACTAAATTTTGAATCGCCAAATTATGTACAGGAACAGTATTTCTGTTTCATTTCTGTGTAAAACTTTCACATCATATCCTTCAGCGATGTTTATGGTCTTGGTCTTGGGGCCTGATTTTGAGTTGGAGGTAAATAACATGACGTCACAATGCACAGTTTCTCAGTATCAAAAGGCAATTAACATGACGTCAAGATGCATTGTAGTATAAACAGTTTGAAATACAACTGATTAGCCATAGGTTTAGCCATAGGAATGCTTTTGATTAAATAAGAATAAATTTGTTATCCAGGTCCAAGTAAGGATGTACGGGGATTACCCCAGGTTTTACTCAATACATCTTTAGGCCTCAGGGAATAAAACTCAAGGTAAATGCATGTGCACCCTTGATTGAATCTGGATAACTAATACTGTTTCCCTTTTGTTAGCTATATTAGCTATATCACCTGACTGACAAAGTCAAGACAATTCCTCTTGCTGATTTCCTTTTTGGCCCTGAACCCCCAGCGGTATTCGTACACGGGGGGATCAGAGTTAGGCTGTTTGGTGTGCTCCAGATATCCCTGTCTGACAAACTCAGTAGTTAACAGCTTCTTAACATCTCCAAAAACAGGATGAGTGTAACTGAAAATTCAAGAAAAATTGTCACATTTTCTGGATCGCTTTCCAGAAATTCCTCTGGAGTTGAAAATTGTAAATGTATCACGTAAAGAGATTTTTTTTATTTGCATGAACTTTATTTTCACTTTTTTACGCTAGAAAGTCTACTTGCTTTAATTTGACTCTAATGTTTATTTTTATCATTGAAGATATAAATAAACATGAACAACAATAAGCAGATTTCAAGAAAACTTTGTCTCACTTATAAATGACAAATAACTAATTTGAAAAAAAAAATAAAGTGTTGTGAAGATTTGGTGATCTGCAGTAACTGTTAAATCAAGTGACATTATAGAAAGAACGTAACATAATCTTTTTTTTCAACACAGCTATGCTATTGTCAAGAGAACTAAATGTCACAAAACAGTGGTCAAATGTATATTAATAAAAGTCTTACTCTTGATCAACTCCAAGTTTCTTCAGCATATGGTACAGTTGTGCTAAAACAGAATATAAGAAATGAAAGGTTACAAAACTCATCTCAAGAAATGTCATCTTAAAGTTTTGACAATCTTTCCTATTAAATAATGTTAACCACACCTAGAGGTTAATTCTATTGTTACCCTCTTTTAATTACACAACTGGGAAAATACAGCATCTGACGCATGAATGGAGTAAAATGAAATATGAAAGAGTTTTCAAGAGTTATCAAGTATAAAAGTCCACTGAAAGAATACAAAATGGGAGCAGAGCAAACACAGACCTTCAAAAACATCAGAGGTGGGATCAGGTGCCATAGAGGAATAAGCGCCTCCTATCAACTGGTGCGGTATGCTCCTGACATGATTAGGTTAGTAGAAAAATCCATAGACAAATCAGTGTAAAAATAATGGCCCAACAATTTGTATGAAAACATAGGTAATCAGAGATTACAGAGCTCACCTCAACGAATGTTGTCTTAAGTAAGGCAAAGTCACACAATTAACCAACAAGAAGTATACATTCCAAAAATGAAAATATTTTTAAAAGCAATTTTGATCTGATACTTTGAAATAGACCTACATAAAAAATTTAAACTACTTCTTCTTCATGAAAATGTAATGAAAATCCAGCATCTGAAGCAAATTTGAGAGTTTTCATCTCTTGATGCAGCATTTATGCAAGTTTGGTTTATACAATGTTATATAAGCCTTATAGTTTTTGGTAATAGACCTGTAACCATAACTTTTACCTTGTCTATTATCTGAAAAATGTATGTCCAATTCAGCATCCGAAGCAAGTCCATTAGTGTGCATCCTTAGATGTATCATCCATGCAAGTTTGCTCATTATAGGGCTCATAGTTTATTGGAAATGAAACATGCATCAAAACTAACATTTTCACTCATCCACAAAAAGTAGGTCAGATTCAGCATCCGAAGCAAGCCTGGAAGTATGCATCCTTA